CTTTCTTTTGACGAAAGGATGAAGTCTCTATCTGTCATGGAAGCCGAGATATTGCAAAATAAAAAAAGGTCTTAAACTTTTGAACAGCACTGTATATATAAAAATTAAACCGGTCCTGAAAGGGTTAACTTCATGTCCATTGTGCAGACCATCCATCCAGCTATTTTTTAAATATGTGAACGAATACACATATGATATTCGCCATTCAAAACTCGGGACAAAGCACTGTAACGATTTTGTCGTAAACTAGAATGGCTAGTGTAAAATTTTAAACAGGAGTAGCGAGCTCTGAGACCGAATTAGTAAATGCCCCCTTTTGAGACTTTGTGGCTAATCCAGTCATTAACCAGAAGGCTCGAAAGGTGTTTTGTATGTTTGAGACTTGTAGTTTTTTCAAAGAAAAACGGATAATTAATCTGAGTCATACTGGCATTTATAAAGCAGAGTGTTTGCATATCGTGTGATTCACTTTATGACCATGCTCTATATGTGTTCAACGAATAGGCTTTTGGATTGCTTCTATAGTACATATCAAAATCCTTAGCCAAAATTGTCATGCTATGCTTTGACTTTAGCGTTTCGTTAGATCCAACAAGTTTTTGCTCAAGAAAACCTACTAATCGTGCATCATTCGATACAGTTTCTTGTGCTAATTCTGAATAAAATCATTATTGAATAAGAACATTTCTGAGCCGAGATAAATGGAAAATACCTTGACAACCTATGTTTTTGGAAAATCTACCGTACGCTTCAGGAGAGTTTATGCATTCATTCATCATAGATGCAAGGCATACCTTCTGTAAAAGTTTCGACGAGTTTTGAATTGGGCTGTGGAGAGCGCACCCGTTTTACTGAAAATAGGTGTTCGAAAAACCACTTACGAAAAACTTTTTTTTGACCAACAAACTTCATCCCAGATTAAGAATTTTGTTTACTTATATATACTAAAGGATGCGGAGATTCAGAATTTTCAATGCATTTGCTTACCAGATTGTGCCGATGACGTTCATTTCAGGGTAATTTTTGAGTAGTTGATTTTCCCATCCTATATCATTTTTGTAACAAAATTTTTTGTGCCATCAGATAAAGCATTACTTGAAGTATATCTAGCACTATCTGAATCGTTGAAAAGTCGATTTTCATTTTTTCACCTAATGTTCGCCTGGATGCACACTGTGGGGGGGAGGGGGGATCGCCTTGATAAGACTCATGTCATTAGTATTGATATGAATGGATTGATATGAATTAGAAACATTAGGACTTCATTTTGAGAAAGCTACCAGTCAAGCGATATATTTAGTTCAACTCTACTTCTTTCTATGAGATCCATATAAAAATCAATACGGTAGAATATGATTTCAAATAATATTAATATAAGACAACTGCAATATTAAGTGATGGAGCAAACATCATTTCGAATAGTCTAAATATACATTATTCTTTTTTTTAAAAAATCAAGGAAAGAAAAATCAACATTACAAGTTTAAGAATAACAAGAAAAGATCGTCAGATTTAAAAGTTCACTTGTTCTCGAAAATGATGTTGAAGCATATTGTTATTAACACCCAGTTTCATATGTTTTTTAGATTTCCACTGTTGCATATATCTTAAATCACGTATTTTACGTTGAAATACTTCACCTAAATGAAATCAAAACCATGTAAACAGCATATTCATATATCAAATTTAATCAGAATAATAAATACATTAAAAAGATCGTAGGAGAAAAAATTCTCCATTGCTATCAGTTTCTTACCTGTCGCTCCATGACCATGCCATCCCAAGGCTCGATATTTTGCTTTTACTCTATCGATTAAATTAACAGATTTTTCATTGTTTCTAGTTCCAAAACTTTGACGGTAATATCTCATCAAAGTCCTATGACCAAGTTTTTTACCTATAAATTCAGAGATAAAATTAATCACTAAGGGAGAAGAAAATTTTACTCAGTTACCTGAAGGTAGTTCAAGTTCATATCCATCCGTATCAAGTGTGTCCAAATCAACATTTTGTTCTTCGTCTTTACCTTCTTGTTGTTCATGATCTGGATAGCTTGTACTAGAAAAAAAAAGTACAATATTATAAGCGAAGCAAATAGTGATGTCATTTCCTTACGTATAATCATAGTAATCAACATATTCAAAAACATCATCTGGATTATCATCAAAGCGTATTTTACAATGTCCTTTATCAATCATATGTCGCTGTACAGCTAAAACATTTCTATACTGTTTTTTGTTACACCATAAACAAACATGATAACCTCCAACTTTTTCATCCAAATGTTCCACAAGACTTCGAACATCTTTTAAATAATCAATATCTGGTAAAAAAAATGTATGGTCGTTGGCCATATGGCTAAGATTTTCATCAAGATTAGATGATTGATATGAACAAAATAAACACTCTTCTACACGAAGAGCAGTGCCCAATTTTTCCATTGTATCTAATAATGAAGAGGTTTTTGAATGAGTAAACTTTTTATTTCGAAGAACAAATACCTATAACACTGTTATCTTCATCATCCATATCGTCCCATTCCTCATCATTTCCAGTAATTTCCACAGTATTCACTATCTCTGGCACGATTTTTGGTAGTTGTGGCTTGATGGAGTCAGTCTTCAAAACAAAAAACGAAGAATCGTATATTGAGATTGTATAGACGTATCAAAAATCTAACGTTACATTTTCTGAAGCATGTTTGACGGTTTCAACGTGTTTCCGAGACTTTAAATGATTCAATAAACCGTTTTCAGATGTAAATTGTTTTCCACATTGTGAGCAGAACAAAGATGTTTCTTCTGGACTCTAAAATTCATTTTAAATGATTTATTAAAATGAAGAATCTCTGACATCACCTACCTGATCAGTATTTTCTAACTTTTGAATGGCAATAACTTTTTCTTGGAAGTCTTCCGCAGTAATTGGTCCTAAATCGGCTACCTTACGCTTTAAATTATATCGGTGCCAATCAGTTTTGTAATGAGCACGTTGAGTATCACCATCAGCAAAAGCAACATGACAAGTAATACATGTGAATGAAGTTGACATATTGTTTACTCTAAAATAAAATAATGGAATCAATTTGCACCCTAACTTAGAATTAAATCTACAATACAAACTAAAAAATGTTGCTCAAGAATAACGAAAGCTCTAAACTGATATTTGGAGGCTTAAAAATTAAGTAAGAGCCACTTCAACCATTTCTGTATTATTATTACTATTATTCATGAAAAGTGAGAGTCATCAAAGGTCCCTGACCTGTAATAACAATGACTCAAGTCGATAAAAGAGTAACGACATTTACACAAAAGAAAACTAGAGTAATGGACAGAGACAGATCAAGTAAATAAATTTCAAATAATCGAATATAAAATAGCAGCTCCAAATCAACATAGCAAATTCGGATAATCTGAATGGAACGAACTAGGGGAGAAAATTTGAAATTCAAAGTGCTGTAGTGATGAATAAACAAGTGGCTGAATCTTGTGGTTTATGATTGCCTTACGCTTCCAGTTATTGAGATCGTGACAGGAAAAGAAATGTATTCTCAAACATTTATGCTTGGAGTTTAAAATTTATGAAAAAGCTCTGAAAAGTATTTTATCCTTATAAAAAATCAAAATTGATTGAATATTTTCTTTTCTCTCATTTTTGAAATTGGCGACTCGCTCATTATATTATCTCCAAAAGTTCATATTTTTGACAACTAGCCTAGTAGCACGAAAAATAACTAGTGTCATTTGGTTATTTCCCGCTAGCCGTCAAAGATAGCCGTAAGGAGCCACTTTCTACGTGAAAAGACATAGAAAGTGACTCCTGACGGCTAGCACGAAACAACTGTTCCATTTATAAGAACTGGTCTATCCTCTATCGGAAGATAGCGATTCGTCGATAACATGACCTAATCATACTCTGTAACAGATCCTCTCTACAAATTCTATCCCATTGGATGATCATACACAAATGAGTTTATTGTTTTTTTTCTCACATTTTTAGCCGCTAACTCATGTGAAGATGCATTTGTACAGAAAGTACTCTAAGAGTGAAGGGAGACCACTTTTGCTATATCTTATTTTTGAAAATTTTTCAGAAGACGTCTCATCCTCAGAAATGTTTGCTCTATACATCTGAGTTGATTTGAAAAAGTTTCATACCGAATCCTAATACGTAGTTTCAGTGTTGAAAACACGATTTGAGTGGTTCCTTTTGAAATTTTATCTGCATCTGCTGGATAGGAAATTCTACTAGGCAAATCTCTTGTTTAGATTTATTCTACCTAGCTTGATTATTGAAAGTGCGCTATAATTTTTTTTTAGTATTGTGTAGAAAATGAAAGAAGCAATATCAAGATATACAGTTCAGATTGAAACAAAAATGCTTTGGCATACCATGCATACTCACGATCGTTGTTGATCGATGAGAATCAATAATGCTCAATTCATCAACTGTCGAATCATTTCTGTATACAGAATTGTGATTAGAGTATTCAGTTCAACATTTGTACTTTAGTTCGTTCTGTGTTGAATTAAAAAACAATTTTTTATTATCGTTTAGATTCGGGGATGCATTTGAACAACTTTTTGTCAATAATAACAACATTTTCAGTCAATATTGATTTTTGTTATTGTGATGTGATGGGTTCATAATGGGTTACAGCTGCAGGGATATCGTAGTCATGGTATTTTAGTCGCTTTACTGAAAGAACAAATCTTTTAGAATTATTTAAAATCTAAATTACTGCTGTGTTTTTAGCGATTATTTTCTCTCTCTGACATTGTGTGTGTGCGCCTTGATTTTGAGAAAAGACAAATAATACTTATATTTATGGTTTTCTTTTTTCTAATCTGATTTTTGCCATCTACGTTTATTTTTCCAATACTAAGTCAGGAATTAAGTAAATACAACATTTGTTTATTTGCAATTGGAAAGTTTCACTAGAATTCTGCCTTCTTTATAGTCATTAATTTTGTTCTGTTCTTAACTAAAATATAAGAATGTTCTAATGTAGAGTATAGGAAGAATGAATACGAATACGTACAATGATACTATACGTGATCAGATGCCAACACGTCTGTCCTTTTAGATTACAATGTATGGTGTGAAAGTAGAGCTCTATCTTAAAAATAATCAAGATCGAGAAATTCTTAAAAATTCTCGATTATAAATACTATCTTTATACTCTTAATATGAAATTGAACTGTTGGAATGTACTACTGAAGATTTTAAATTATTTTTAGAAGGTGATTCTGTCTCACAATAAAATTCATCAGTAATAGGACTAGAGGTGTTGAAACAAATAACAAATAAGACAATTTTAATCAAAGATTTTCTTCGATTAATGTGAAAAATATTTAATACCCTATCTATTTTAGATTTGTCATGCAACGACTATCTATTCTAAGCAGACGACTAAAGTCATTGATAAATGTTACCCAATGTTCGATATCTAATCAACATCAAACCAATATTACTTTAGCAAATCCTTGTGTTGCAATGTCACCTGACGGTAGTCATATTGTTTGCTATCATCCAGAAAAATTACATCCATACGAATTTACAAAGCCAATTGATCGTAATGATCCAAGTATGGCACAGGTTTGTATAAGTTTTTTGTTTTAATAGCAGCATATTTTGTTTTCTAACAACAAATAAATCAATAATTTTAGAATGATTCTATATTCAATATGCAAGTTCAAACCGATTATAATAATCGTTATTATAAAAAAAAATTAACGAAAAAAGATTTTCGACTTGAAACAGAAAAACTTGCAAAAATGTTTAATGAACATTATGCGACATTTCGATTAACGTATGTAACATCTATTTTTTATCAATTGATTACGATAAATATTAGTTTTGTTGTATTTAGACCTCGAAAAGATAAAATCAAAAACTGTTCACAATTTCCAACTCCACCACCTGATCGTGCTGGCATCTAGTAGAAACTTATTTAAATGTTTTTGTTATTTGTATTTATATTTAGTAGTTTATTTTTAAAAATAATTATTATTCTTTAATGTGTTTTGTTAAAACATCGACAAGAAAACTGGAATGATGTCTTATTTTCTGTATACTGAAACAATAAGATGTAAAGATTAGAGTCAATAGAACAACAAAAGTGTAAAACAATAGAAAATGAATCTTATTTTCTTAATGATATACGATTCTGGAGGAGATAATATATACGGATCGTCTCGAAAATACCCTCATAAAATTATAATTCGATAGAAATCATATTTGAACAATTTTAGAATATTTTCTTAAAAATTATCGGCATGAGAACAAGAACAATCGACATTTTTTTTACTTTCACTTTTGAGCTAGTAATGGGCTCTAAATTGATAGACACTGAACAATCTCAGTTTTATAGTCTCAATCTTTTCTCCAATTTGTCTTTGAGATAGACAAGGCAAATTTATTTATACTTTCATATAAAAAAAAAACGGTCTTTTATTCTATACAACTGTGTAAAATAAAAGTGGAGTTAGAGTTGAGTTTTTCTATCGTATCTAATTTAATAGCGTAACTAATTCTGATTTCATTCTTTTACAATTTTTTTTTCTTTTCTTCTGTCTATATGAATTATACTTGTTACCACAAAATAAGAATTCATTTGGGATCTGCGAAGTGTTAAACTATGTGTGGTATATTTTATAACGATTTTTTATTTCTTCAGAAAAGTGTTATAGATACGCATTGTTGAGTGAACTAAGTGCGTTTTCTTCTATTTTTACAAAGACAACATAGTACATAATCATAAAAATCGATATTTTCTTCCTTCATTGTTTCAATGAACTGTTGCTGTATTTGATATGTTGTATCAAGTAGTTTTATAAGAATGAACATCACAGATTTATTAATGAAGGTTAAAATACCAATTAATACATTTTTCTTCGACATCTTCGACATCAAATCAGGCTACCATTTTATTCTTGTTGCTACCATGGAGCATTGTAATATAGAAAATATTGACTAAATATTGTTGTTGTTATTATAATGATGCATCAAGACAGAAGAAAAATTATCCATACGCATATTTTTATTATACCAAAGTTCATCGACTAATAAATTGTGATTGTCCTAAAATACAGCAAAGACATATTAAGTTTTTATGATTCATAAAAATTGTTCAATCTCAAAAACATTGAATCTACTTACATGACGTGGATGAAATTCTGATACAACAGTACCGGCGGATGAAAATGATGGATATGATGTATTCATTATTTGTGATGATCTTCCATTAACCATACTGAATACATCATTAAAAGAATTTGTAAAATTTTTCATTGAGTTTGATGATAATTCTCGTGTAAATGGTGTATGTGCTTGTTTTTCTTGTTTTCTATGTTTGGCACGACGATTTTGGAACCAAACCTAAAATGTAATTGTAATGTTATCATAAAACAAAAGAAATACATGTATTACATTACATTATGCTCATTGGAGCAAAAGAAAACGAAATCAATGTTAACACTTTAGATGACATGTGGAAATACTTAAGAATACATTTTTATTATAGACCTCCTGTTAAGCTGAAATGACACCCATACCATACTTCCATATGTTCAAGTTTTTCCTTTCTTTCTCTCTCTCTCTCTCTCTGTCTTTGGCTATATGTCCATTAATTTTTTTTTGGAATAACGAACAAGTGGAATTGATATAGACCATTTGTTCATTTATAAACTTCTTGTGACAAAAAAAAAAAATAGCGGCACTTTTTATTGGGAGTGAGAATTCGAGTTAGAGAATGTAATAAGAAAAAAACAGAGTAGAAGAATACTGATTGATGTCATGTTCATGTTTCATTTCTAAAGTGTGAACAAAATCTGTTAGAATATTACACACATGATGTTTCCATGTTTTAGACGGTTAAATGATTTTCTTAATTGATTAGTCATGAATATTATAGAGCACATAAGATAGATGCATGTCAAACCGGGCGTAAAATCGAAAATCAAATTACATAGATCGCCAAATGTCCCATTTTGGGAATTACCGTAAAGTTTTAAACTATTAATTAATGATATTACTAGTAAAAATGAATAAATATAACCGATAGAAGGATACGAAAGTTCTATAACTCAACTTTAATTCAAGTTTAGAAACGAAATCCAAGCAAAGTAGTTAGTGGAAACATTGAAGTTTGTATCCTTCAAATTATTATTCAAACAAACAGTAAAGAGGTGGTTGTCAAAAGAAAAGGGACATGTTAAATTTTCAAAAGTTTTCATTAAGTTTTCTGTGCAAGCACACATTACTTTTACGTTAGAGATAAAATCTATATTATTTGGACTGTAGAAATGTTTTTGTTGTCTTGAACTATAGTTTCGAAATATTTGTTCAAGTAAAAATAAAGACACTTTTAGCAAGTCACTTCGAGTAAAAATCTCGATCAACTGAGCAGTAGAAGTTATAAAGAAAATAAAAATGTTAGCTCTCACTTGAATTCTAGCTTCATTCAATTTTGTTACTCTGGCCAATTCTTCTCGACAATAGATATCGGGATAGTGACTTTTGGCAAATGCGGCTTCTAGTTCAGCTAATTGTTCTTGTGTGAATGTTGTTCGATGTCGTCGACGCGCTACTGACGTTGGAAATTGTAATCGTCCATTATAAACATTTGAATGTTGTGATTCACATTGCATGGAATTTTGAACGAGATTAATGGGTGGTTGTTTGAGTTTTTTAAATGCACCATTGTTTACTGAAATAGGAAAATAACTCGAATTATAATTTGAGCTTTAATCATAATTTATCTCCGGAAACTACTGTTTGGTAGTTACTTGGACAATAAACATAGAAGATGTTGTGCGAGTTGTTGCTTACATAAAGACGTGCTATAATTGTCTAACATGAATATAAAAATCGTCTAATTGCTTGCTTCTTTCACAGTTAAAAACGTGGATTTTATAAACGAGAAATAATAATCATAACTAGTAAATCCACATTATATCGGATAGTTTCGGTATTCGTCTAAATCGATAGGATTAGTTGGCTGGTTTAGATTTGTATGAATAAAAAGAGAAAGAGAGAGAGAGAGAGAAAAAGAGAGTGAGATAGAGAAATGAGAACGAACAAAAAAGAAAAAAAAATGATAATGACTCGATTCCGCTCTTCAAATTAGACGAACGATAGATATAAGAAAATGAGAACGGAAAATGTTTTACGACCAATGACAAATTAAGTGAAGCGTTTAGAGCGGAATGTTTGATGTTTGATTATTGTTCGTAGAGAAAACATAATTGTCACCAACATTTGATTATTTCCTAAAAGAATTTAACTTTATATGATCTGTATATTGTAGCAGAAACATAAGATAGATTTACAAAGTTTTTTTAAAAGAGGTCATCTTACTAAGAAATAATGAAACAAATTAAAACTTGATTATAATAAAATGCATATTAAATGAATGAATCAGTCATTACTTAAAGAACAAATGACATAAGTTCGTCTGGTTTGTTCGAATAAAATAGTTAACGTGAGAAAAATTTTTTTGTGTAACTTGTAAGAATTTAAGGAGGTAAGATAAGCCGTAGCTTTATCGATAGTTGATAAACTATAATTTTACAGGATAGATATTTTTGGTCTGAGATTAATTGTAGTTCTATTCGTATTTTTCAAAAGGCAAACTGACCGAATTTTAAGGTCTTAAATTATACAATTCGACATCTTCATTCATACTACGTAAAGAAAAAGAAATGCCTATATATATATCTGAGAAACAATATATTAGTTATTAAACGTTTTGCTTGTCTTGTCTCAACAGTATGACTATACTTATCGAAAAACTATCTTTTCTACTTTTTGTCTCAGCCTTTATGCTTCTCTCGTTGAACAAAAGAAAAATTTGTTGATTTTTTTTACTCTTTTTTTTCATATTTTATGAAATGATCGAAATCGAATTTGGACAATTTAATTACGACAACATGCGTGAAGTACAAAAAAAGACGAAAAAAAAAAAATTAAACACATTGAAAAAAATATGATTGAAAAATTCTATCTTTTATTTTATCTGTTCTTGAGACAATAAAAACGAAATTCAAGTTATATCTTCCTGGATAGTAATTTCTGTTTTACATAAAATCATTCTCATAGTCATTAGAAGAGCAAAACTGTGTTATTTGATTTAAGGTAACTATAAGAATTGAATTGAACAAATGATTGAATGTTGCTTATAGGTTTTGAAAACAATACATCAAAAATAACAGAGAGAGAGAGAGATGATTTAATCAAATGAGAGAGGTATTCGGTTGTTCTTCGTTTCGGATACACTCCTTTTATTGATTTTGCAGTTTATTATTGTTTTTTATAGCAAAAACAGATTATATATATCAACATTCACTGTATGAATAGAAAAATCTGAACAAACAAGAACACAATATACGTTTATGGTTAGTAAATTTGAGCACATTGTTCGTCTTTCTCCACTTGTGTATGACATTCGGCAAATTATTCTTTCTATGCCGGATAATGAAGCATGGAATTTGATAGACCATGATCGACACGAAAAGATGATAAACTTTTATTATACCAGTCATCTTGAAATGGAAGATTATCCTACAGTAGAAAAAATATTATAAATTGAATCATGAAAACTTGATAAACATGATTTTTTTTACCTGTCTAATACCCATATTACTTAAATTACTAGCTGTAATAGGGGAAAATTGTGACATTGATGAATAAGCACCCGATGACATTGAAATTGAACTCATTGGTGGATAACGACTCATTGAATTAATAGGATTTGGTAAACCGCTACTATATTGATAGGGGCGACCAGCTGGATTGTGATAAAAATTGCGCATCATCGCATTACATGGCGATAAAACAGGGGACAGTGCTTTTTGTAACTGTTTCTCTTGTTTTCGATATTTAGCACGACGATTTTGAAACCAGACCTGTCAACCGAAAAAAAGAAATTCTTGTATTGAAGAACAGTCCTTGATTAGATTATTAAACGTTTGTTGTACAAAGCATACAGTTGGTCCTAACCTAATGCACAATACATATCTGTTTCAAGAAAATCTGATTGTCAGTTTGTAATATCGTTTAATGATGTCTAGTAATAATGACCGAGAAATTACTCTACTCGGATGGAAAATATACTATGTTTTTGGGCTCAAACAATAAGATGATGAATGTGAGCACAAAGAGAATGCTGCACTCTTGAGGCTATTTCGATTCATTTATTGTGGTACGACCATCTTTCTTAACAGGATACCCCTAATTCTGTAACAGTTGGTTTTATTTTTATTCTTTTGGAAAGTCGTAGAAACCACTTCGTTAGTCTACTAGACCTCACTACGATATTCTAGTAATAGTCTTCTCTCTGCTTCCAAGTACGAAGGAAGAGTTTGAACAAAATGATAATAAAAAGTGAAAGTATACACGTTAAACACGATTTCATTGTCTATTAATTTTGACAGTCAAACAATCTACATGGGATCTCTAAGAATCTTGCGTCAAAATTTACGCCGGCTAAATTTGGATCGCAAAACGAGCTATTTTCTTATTATCTCTATGTCTTATGATAGTTATCGACTCATTGATACGTCTCGATACAAAATATGTTGAGAAACCTACCTTATATCGCGATATTTATGATCTTAAAATCAAGAGTCTAATACGAGTTCTATCGCGTTTTATCGATTTTCTTTTTAGCTCTCATGCGTGAGAAAACTGTAGACACAGATCTCCTGAGACATATCTTTCACTAAAAATGAGGCCATATGTAACTACGGTCTATAGAATACTGTTATTTCAAGAACAAAGAAAAGAATCAGAAGGTTCACAAGAACGTCTTTCTAAATAAGATGTCTTCGTCATGAAAACAATCAAACGATCTAAGACTCGATTAACAAATTTGAATATTTTTTCCTACTCTAAAACATTCTGAATCGAAGATCCGGCTATCACCTTCATCAATGTTAGAATCTTTAGCCATCGGAAAGGTTTTTTTTTAAGTATATGTATCGATTAACTATGCACGAAATATTGAACGAGAAAACGAGACCGAAATAAAGTAGCAGGAAAATGAATAAATTTTCTCTTTCATCTTATTGGGAGAGAACAAAAACATAGCAAAAAATTTTTTTTCTCTACTTTTTCCATTTCATCACATCACACAAAAACTACTATATAGAAAACGGGTATCTTGTTGTTTGTCTCTCTCCCTATGTCTCGAATGTATTTGACGCGAGAAACAAGAAAAAAAAACTATCTAACATACTTCGCTTGAACACACTTACTCATTAGAATCTATTCTTATATTCCAACAGGAAAAAAAATGATGGAATTGTAATTGAATTAATAGTTGTTTCACAAGAAATGCTTTTTCTCTATGTGTACGACAATAAGTATAGAGCAGTATTTGTCTTCTTTTTGCATTTGATGACGATATGCCATACAGATAGCTACAAGCTATATCATCAGTATGCGCTTCACGAAGAGGATGTCAAGATTGACAGAACATTTCCTCTTATCAATCAGAATTTACCATACATTATAAAACTGGAAACTGTTGCACATTTCTTGTGTTAGAGATAAAACCTATATTATTTGGACTGTAGAAATGTTTTTGTTGTCTTGAACTATAGTTTCGAAATATTTGTTCAAGTAAAAATAAAGACACTTTTAGCAAGTCACTTCGAGTAAAAATCTCGATCAACTGAGCAGTAGAAGTTATAAAGAAAATAAAAATGTTAGCTCTCACTTGAATTCTAGCTTCATTCAATTTTGTTACTCTGGCCAATTCTTCTCGACAATAGATATCGGGATAGTGACTTTTGGCAAATGCGGCTTCTAGTTCAGCTAATTGTTCTTGTGTGAATGTTGTTCGATGTCGTCGACGTGCAGGTGTTTGACAAGAGGCCGGATTTTGCAATGATTGTGACGACTGACTTGAATTAGATGAATGTGGAGATAAACTTGGTGTTTGAATATTTAATATATGACTTGATGGATGATGTGAATGATGCTGGTGTGATGAATGTGGATTGATTAACAATGATTCATGTTTAATTTTTTTAAAAGCACCATCGGACTGCGCTAGAAAGAGAAAATTAAGTATGCAAATAAGTTTTGTTTATGATTGAGAGCATACCTGATGTAGAAAATTGTGCATTATTAATCATATTTCCATTGGATGACGTTAATGACGAAGCTGGTATTGTTGAAAATGATGAACTTGGATTATTTCGATTAATAGAATAAAATGTTGAGTATTCATCGGCTGATAATTTAAAATTGGCTGCAGCCATACTTGCAGCAGCGGCCACAGCTGCGGCTGTCACATTCGCCGGGGTAGTGACTGCTGTTGTTGATGATGATGAAGATGTGGCTAATGAATGATCGAGAAATTGATGATGAGGACGGTGATTTGAAATTGTTCCATGTAATAAATTTGTATTTGAATATGGTATTGTTGAATGTTGTCTATTGTTCCCACCATGATTCATAGCGGTGTTTAATGTTGATGTAATTGACATGTACTATACACTTGTTAAAATAAGATTATATATTTATTTGTCTATTTTTATTATTAATTGTGTTAGAGGCCACTTAGTTTCGTTTTGTATTTAATTACTTATTATTTTAACGATCTTAAACAATATGATTTACAAACATATGTATTTTTCTTATTCTCTCTCTCTCGCTCTCTCTCTCTCAATTTATGTCTGTATCTTATATAATGTTCTTATAATTTGAGGTGACTAATCAAGTTAACAAATCAACACTTAAATTCCTTGTTATTTACTGAGAGGTTTGAGTAATTGAAAGCGAAAACGGAAAAGTTTGTAGTAGTAGATAAATAGGATGGATCTAATAAAACAATATTATAAGAGGAAAAAAATTTTTTTTAACGAATGAGAGATTTACTACATCAATATCTGAGTATGTGTATGGATGTCTTTCTACTATCGTCATCCACGTCCATTATCGTCATATCACTTGAGATTTCGAATATAATCGTCGACAACAGTTTTTTTTTTTTTACCGTTTACGGTCTCTTCTTATCTCTTTTACATACAATAATTACAGAGAAGAAAAAAAAGAAGCAGCAGTCTATAGAAAATAAGAAAATTTTTTGCTTTTTCTTTCTCTGAAAAGAAAAAAAAACATTTCCCATTTCTTCTATTGGATAAACTATTTTTTTTCAGTACTGTACTCAATTGGATGAAAAGATTGTGAACATCAAAGATCAAAAAATTTAAACATATTGAAGGAGAATGTTTTTGTTGTTGATTGATTAACAAATGTTTTACTAGGAAAATAGATCAAATAATTTTTAGTCTGTTTACGTCAGATTAGAAATCTATGTTTTCAAAACTTTTCAAGTATAGTAAAAGGACAAAAAGCTGTTATATTATTATATTTCACCACATAATTATGAGATATGATTTCTCTCATGTCTTAAGATACCTGAATCTAATACAAATACTCTAAGAAAAAATATGTCTTTAAATAAAAACCATAAGTCGGTTGACATTTAGACTGATAAATAAGGTCTTTTTTTTAAAAGCTATTCATGAGTCTAAATGTCAACCGACTTATGGATCTTCTTGTATGACCGATAAGTTAATTCGTGTAATTTTTTTATAGTAGTTTGAATCTTAAGATTAAAAATTGGGTCATCAGGTTAGGCCGACCATTGCTGTCATTCTAGTTGATGTCAGTATTTCATATGAGAAAAATAAAAAACTCTTATTGAATTTTCATTGAGTCGTTCCTTCTTTATGCTGTTATAGTGAGGCGAGGTAACCATTGGTGGGCCGGGAAAGATTTTTTAGGGGGAGCAATAAATTTTTAGAGTAGTGCATACACAAGCTATAAAAAAAATAAAAATATATAATTCGAAATATAATTCTTCACAGGGCAATAACTGCTTATTGTCTTTGATATTTTTTTCCAGGAGGGGCAACTACTGGCGGCTCGCCAATGAAGGTAACCCCTACTTTTTAGTATGTATTCAAAATATGGAGTAATTTACTACCAAATCAGTTGTTAATCTTATTTTACTACCGTTTTAAAAAAATTGTTGAGCAGAAAAAGAAAAAACTTCTCCCAAAATTACTTCAAATTTCCAAAAAGTCTTCCATTAGTTTGAACAGTTAACGTAAGACTTTTTTCTTGGATCTTAGAAATATCATCGACAGAATTGTCCGTTTCCAAGTAAGATGGATGAAAAAAAAGTAATGCTGATACTGAGATTAGACAGAAACAGCTATGTATGACTGGGATCTCTTGAACTGTTATTCATCAAAACACTAGTTTGGTCACTACTTTGAAAAATTTCCTTTCAAACGCATTACTCGTTTTTCTTCATCACATTCCTGTTTAAAACCTTGAAAAATCATTTGGCACTTCATACGTCGTTAATTTAAACTAATATTCTTTGCACTAGCATAGAATTAAGAACATTTATATAGAATATTTGACGAAGTTTCTGATAAATTTTACTGTTTTACAATAATATAAACTTTAGAAAACAATTATGTTTGTCTAATTGTCTACAAAATGTTATTGATTTTTAAAAAATAGTTGATTCATCTTTCACCATTATATTTTATAACTGTCACTTATATTCGGTTTTCTAAATATTCTAGACAAGATATTTTCTATCTATAATTAATCGAACAGGTTTCTCCTCATTAGGACTCTCATATGTACATATATCAAATAACGTCGCGTTAATTGTTCTACAATTGCCAAAAGCATTCTTTTTTCTGTCTCTATTAGAATATTTGGAGCATAAGAGAGAGGAAGAGAGAGAAAGAGAGAATTCCCACTGTGCAGTGACAGACAGCCAAATGGCATCATTTCCTGGATAGCTAGTACAAAAAGAATTCGCTCATTTGGTAACAAGTTTTTATATTGAGATACTACAAACGAAATTGTAACATACGAACAAACATACAGCGATAGATACTAACCTGAGTTAAATGGAAGACAATCACTAATAAGTGATAATAATTCCAGAACATCTATATATAGATCTACAACTGCACGATAGAACTAATGAATCTAGTGATAATGCCCTTTGTAAATCAATTTTTGATTTTCATCTATTTGCTTCGAAGCTTCAACGAACACTACCACTAACATTTTTCAGTTTAATGAATTACTATCACATCTCTTCTAATTGAGTGCAGAAATAAAAGACAGATTTATCGCTACGTGTCACGATATTCCAAGGATGAGCATCTTGTAAACTATCACTTCTCCCTCTCTCATGTGTCTTCATCAGACCCAGTTTAAAAACCATCTCAACTAATAAGCATAATAATGTTTTATTACAATCGACTAATAACGATTTTAATTTATCAGAATATATTCGTACAACATTCAATACTAAAAAACCTTTTGTACACAATCACTACTTCAACTATTTGAAATTATAATATACAATGTTAAGAGAATAGAGAACACATAAGCGGCGAACAACTTGAAATCAGATAAGACTTACAAAAAAAAGATTTCAATCCTTTTCGTTCACGTTTTTCATCGAGTTATGATGTTCACAGAACTATCATAAAATAGTATAGAAAGTTGAAACTGTTTGTCTTTTTTTAGCAAAAAGGCATCATCGCTTCAATTTTGTAAACGTGATCATCCTATGGTAAAAGCTTGAAGAGTTCGAGAATATCTCATCTTAATTTGGATCGATGAACTACAATAATGGCAGATTTAAAAATTCAAAGATAGAACATTGGATTTCGTGGCTTTCTAAATAGCTAGTTTATCGAAAAACTGCCTCCATACTTGCTTGATCCAGTATACGGGTTTGCAACGGAGTCTTTTTAGGCCAAGCTTTAGAAATAACTGGTCCAGAAAGACAATAGGTCTTCAAGCATTAAACCATAGTCTGCAAATAACACCCTCGCTTTGGTGCTAATTCTGTGTTGACACTTTCATTTCTGAACACTCTGTTGACAGAAAAGTATTTTGGGGGCTTAAAGTCATTCTCATTAGCTTTTGAGTACCTAAACGAGTCTGTAAAGCATCCTTGAGATTACTGCAGTAGTGGAAGTTCCTAGGATGTTTTTCTGAGACTCAGACTCCTGTTAGTTCCAGCGATAACCAACCGATGCATATTCACCAACCGAATATACTAATCTGTTTTTTTCTTCCAGATCCTGTGAAGTAGTTAGCGAACTTTTGAGATCTAACTATAAACACAATATTTTTAAGAAAAAAAGTGCTGTGAAATCGTGAGCCGGATACTGCGGTGGCTGGAACCTAAGTGTCAGCTATTTTATGAAATCAAGATTGAATCGAAAAACTTTCTATGTCTCGAGAATTCACCCACAGTTACGTACCTAAATCGACTATATCACAACATAAATAAAAAATTTAAAAGATTTGAATTTGACACGACGATAAAACACTTTTTCCTACTTGTCTAACTAATGTTTCAGAAAGGCAAAAACAGTTTGACGAGACATCTTCTTGAACTTAAGAGGTCGGGCATTATTGGAGAAATCCTTTATTCGGGATGGTATCCGTGCATGGAATCTTCTACCTAATGATATACGTTCAATACATAAATTGACTGATTTTAAACTCAGATTAGTCTTGCAATATAGTTCGTCCTTTCGTTTACCGTTAATACGTGATCGGCGGTTGGAGATACATCATACGCGATGTAGAGTTGATAACCCCCAACTAAATGACTATCTCTTTATTAGAGGTGGATTAGAAAAGTCACCGGCGTGTGCATGTAGCTTTAACAGAGAGACTACTAAACATTTTTTCATGGACTGTGCTCTTTACGATAAGTCTCGTAATTTTATGTTTGATCAGCTGCGTACTGTTCTTAATGATAATCACATGACGTTGGAGCACATACTTTTGGAACATGAATCTATCCGAGCATTGGCTAAGCAGAATCTGATAGAAGTGTATGCAACCATCCTCCAATTTATTGATACTATCGGAAGATTTAATCAGTCATGGTGTACTAAACCTTCATGAGCAGGACGTCACATGGATAGAGCAGATCTCAGAATTCGATTCCCAATTCTCTCTCTCTTTTCACCAACATATAATCTCTCTTCTCTATATACTCATTCTGTTCCAGCATGTTCATATAGAATCCGGCATACAATGGGATATCCCGAATTGCCGAATAAGTGTTTTTCTCTGGTAGTTATATTTTTATTTTATTTCTTTTTTACCAATTTTTTACTAAATAAAAGAAAAACTTTAAAAAACAAAGGCAAAAACAGTTCAAGCTATTGGAGTCGTTGTGTTCAATATGAATGGTACCCATTAGTATAAAATTCAAGTTTGTATATTGTAGTTATCTCAGTATTAATAGATATTTTCCTAATTACTCGTTTGTGTTATTTAAGATCGCATGCTTATATCAGAAATGAACCACTAATCTGATCTGATAAAGTCTTTTTTACAAGTTAGACTAAATTACGTCTTCGAAATGAAGCTAGAAAAAGTAACCAGATTTCGTCTAGAAATTGTATTCTCAAAATGCTCGCTCCAATAGATGTGCAACTATTCGTGATGTGTACAGTAATTCAATGAATTTTCTTTTAAATCAATCCATGACATTGTGAAATACAACCGTTTTAGAAAAATTACAAAAAAATACTTGATATTAGTACTAGCTGTTCGATGCTGGATCTTAAAAGTGAATACATATTGGTTTTATTGCTTTATGAGTCAAAATTATATATTATTTGAATTACTTCAAGAGTTAATAAATACTACTTTGAAAATCAAAACAATGAATTTTATTTTATAAATTTGAATGTGTCAGCTAAGTTGCTGAGCATTAATTAAAATCAATTATTTTTAGCAATTTTAAAAACAGAAAAATCATAAAACTAATTGAATATATGTGATATCCAATTCTATAACCGTTGTTCGGTTTGAATGAATCACGGAGGAAAAGCTTCACTTCAAGTGCCTTTTACTGTGTGCATCTCCGATTAAAGTGTCACTTTAAGTGGCTAAGTTCTGAAATACAACCCAAATGAATGAGTGATACTTCAAAGTCCACGTCTTCCTAGAAAATTAGGAATTTGAGCTCACTTTCGCTTTTTTTCCCTTTATGTCTAAATTGTATGGGCTGCAGCTGTTCCGTATCATACGAACCTGTTTGTGTTCATCAGTTTAGTGAACAAAGCTAGAGAGCGTTCGTAAATGTTAGTAAAAAACTCAACATGTCTGCGAAAAAACTGTAAACGGTATTCACAAAAAAATGAAACATACATGCTTTCTTTTATTACTATTCATCTCAAACTAAAAGACAGATGGTTAGTTTTGGAATAAATCAAGACAGAAAAGTGGTAAGATTTGCAATTTTCGCTGTTCGATAGTCGAGATTTTAATGCTAGTTCTTGAAAAAAACGATTTCTCTAGTAAAAATTTTTCTTTTCTCTAATCTGTCCAGTTTACAGATCGACGAGTTGTGCAGACTGATATAGTTTTCTAAGATTCTCAAATATCTTAACGATAATAGTACAAAATCATTTCCGATTTACGTCAGAGTACCACAAACAATGAAAACAACAAAAAAGAAACACAATACGCTGTTCAAAAAGAGGAGAAAGACTGAAATTACCACTATTCGTCATTTCAACAACTTTTGCACACACAAAAATTGTAATTTAGAACAACAACAACAGAAAGATTGTTCAATTAGTCTTTAAAAAAGTAAATCACGGATTCGAGTATAAAATCTGTATTTTTGAATGCTCGATTGATCTACTTTTGCGTAGAATTTAAACCATTTTTTCTGTTTCTCTATCTTTCTTTTAGACTACAGTAGTACAAATGGTACTCTAACGTAAATCTGAAATGATTTCGTACTATTAACGTTAAAATATTTGCGAATATTAAAAAGCTTTATCAGCCTGCACAATTCGATTTATAAAACTGAACAGATCAGAGAAACGAGAAAATTTTACTGGAGAAACTGGTTTTTCAAGAACTAGTTCAATAATCGGTAAACATCACATATAATCGGCGTCATTGATCACATATACTCTCGTATCTGTTGGGAAAAAACGATTTGACACCCGAAAAGCTGCCCTCGTTAGTTTATTCGTAATTTGACTGATCAATGTGTGTTCAAACGTGACACTTAAAATGGCTGAGTGACGCTTCAAGTGACATACAAGTGTGTGCACCCTTTTAGGAGGTCGTTTATCCCTTGGAATGAATACTATTCTTCGCTTTTAAGGATCAAGATTTATTTCATTAAAGTTCCCGTGGCGTTTCACATGCACGATCATTGGGGATACAAATCGATGTACGTCAATTTTAACTATTTTTACCATAATGACGTCTTGGACAAGGATAATATCGAACATTACCGTGAATTATTATTGTTAGGTTTAATTAACTTGTGCTTATATCCGCGAATTCTTTGTTTGAAAATGAACAATGTCAAGTTTTCAGTCGAAAAGCTGTTACTTGGCTGTTGTCCTAACTAGAACAATATTTAGAAAACGTCAGATTTCCAAAATATTCTGACGAAACAGAATTCTAATCTTCGATTTTTGATCGATAATAGACAACAATTCGAGAATAACTCATACATAACTTCAATATTTCATGCAGACAGAAACTTATTGTATTTTTAAATATTCGATCGTACAATTGTTTGCCCGTATCATTGAGTCACTTTTCTATCTTTTTATTCACAAAACAAGCTGTTTAAAAGAAAATATTTTGTTCTTAGTACGTTACTTATTGTGTTTTACATAAAATTTTGATTATGAAAAATGAAACGATATAGTGTCAGTAAATTTAAGTCCTAATTCTAATAAAAAAGAAAAAATATCAAAATAAGAGAAAAAAAGAAAATAGATATTAAAAAAGAATAACAACGGTATAAATCAATCTAATTTACATCTGGTTTGGAGAATTTTGCTATGAAGTACACGATATTGTTAACAGAAGAATAAAAAAGTGAATATCACTGTACTAACAAATAAATTGTGTTAACAGACAAAAAAATATATAAAAGATTTTGATAAATTCATTCTCTTGTATCTAATTGAGCTGAAAAAAAAAGAGCAACATACTAAATATATATAAACATAGACACCGACGATTATGGACTGGAATTATTTGTGTGTTCCTTGGTCTTCAACAGATCGTTTAAACTCCTGATAAGATATAAAGCCTAAATTAACACAAAATATCTTTGAAATAAATTAATACGTTCTAAAAAGACAAAGCGAAAATCTTACCGTCTTGATTATCATCTTCTTCTTTCAGAATATCATCAACTAAACGTATTAATTCTTCATCGGCCAACCGAGTGGCAGGCGTGGGTGACGTCTGGTTCAGATTAGTACTATTACCCATAGTTACATCATCTAAATATGATATACAAATGATACAAAACGAACATTATACCGTAAAAAAAGTTTTTATGGTTAGGTTAAAAAGAAATAACTAATTTTTTGCATAAACCACCAAATAATCCTTTTAAAGTATATTCTCGATAATATACGTCAAGTTTCTTACAATAAGGTGAAAACATTTGTCACATAAATGCGTAGAAGAAATAGTACGTTACTAAACATCTGCTTACCGTCGTGAACATGATTGAAAGCCGATATAACTTCCAAACCATCTAATTGATTATCATTGTTTGTATCATGTAATTTAAAATAATAAAAACTTTGTTCTTCTGGAGTCATTTCTTCTTTTGGTTTATTTACTTGTCCTTCTAGATCATGTCGAATGTGCCTAAAAAAACGAAAATAGATTTTTTTTTTCTGAACATAAGTCGATATTCTAATTTTTTCGTCTTATTTACTCCATATTATGTGCTTGATTGTGCATCTGCCTTTCCCCAGCATATTGAATGTGTTCTATGTTATCTTGAGACGGTTGCTGTTGTTGTGCATGATCATCACCAAAAATGCATATATATACGGTAGAAAATACAACAAGTAGTGATGTAAAAGTATGCATTCTAAGCAAAAAATTTAAAAGAAAAAACAATGATAATATACGCAAGTGTAGATTCAACGAAATTTAACAAATTGGCGCCGAATTCAACAGAAAAGCAAAAGAGTTGTTATTGATTCGATAAATGAGTTTCAGATACGCACGATCGGCTTAAACGCGCATGACACAATTACATTTTTACAATTTTTGAGCCTCAAATACTGAACAAAAGGAGACGAAACTTTTATCAGATATGTACGGTAGAATGTTTGATATGTGATAAAAATGTCGAATGAGTCGGTTAAGTAGAGCGGTTTTTATGAGCAAAATAGATGTCCTGAAGAAATTACATTTTTTTAGCCTTTTTTTCTAGTGCTCCACAAACTTTGAAAAATGCTCTAAAACGAGATATATTCAGAAAAAAGTCTAATATAAAAGTTGTAGAGCATGAAGAGAGCTTTCGAATTATCTCTTTACTTTCACTTAAAAATGCTTAAATGATAAGAAACAAACGAAATGGCTCCGTGATGGAATTACATCATTTTTTTCGTTCTTTTGATGTGGGTCTGCCGGTAAAAAGACTTCTATAAATCTGACTTGCGCGGAGCCTTATGCAATCGAGTGCACTCTAGCAAACTAAGCAAAAACGAATGGTGGAAGAAATGTTTTTGATTTTCGTACAATTGCTTCAAAAAAGGTACCATTTCGAATTCGGCAAAAACTTGTTTAGTGTGTAAAATGCGTTTCTTAAGATTGTTTGACAAAGTTAATAGTGCATTTTGTAGATAATGTAATTCTTTATCCACTGATATACGTTTTGAAATTTTTGAATAGCTAATTAGGTTAGAAAATTGAAATAAAATAACTTCTTTTAAATTTGAATTTTCGTGCGTTTTAAGGTGCATATTCGTAAGCAGCGCAAGATACTGCGTCTAGTAATGTGCTGTTAAGGCTGGTTTGAGAGAAAAAATATCGCTCAACCCACCGCAGCTGATGGTGGCAGTTACGCGTTTCAACCGTGATACAATCATATTATCGATTAGATATCGTCGTTTACCAGCCGAACCGTTTTCTCCGATATGCTTTATTCTTATTTTTTGGTAAAAGCCCCTTTAATGAAAGAATGAATTTTGATTATAAACCAAGTTTTTGTTACAAAAGAAGCGTCTGTCGAGCTAAAGATTCATCTCTTTTCAAGACAATTGTCGTTGTGGACATAGTTTAAGTTAGCAGCTAACCACCTCATACTTGTAAAGTTACCTACTTTTGGCATGTATATA